TCCGACTTGCTAAACTGACATCAACAGAACAATCCCGCCGTGACGACATGGAGTCTCTGGGCTATGTCATGCTTTACTTCTGCCGTGGATCCCTTCCCTGGCAGGGTCTTAAGGCGGCCACCAAGAAGCAGAAATACGACCGCATCATGGAGAAGAAGATGACGACTCCCACCGAGGTTCTCTGCCGTGGCTTCCCCAACGAGTTCGCCATCTACCTCAACTACACCCGTTCCCTCCGCTTCGATGACAAGCCCGACTACTCGTACCTCCGCAAGATTTTCCGCGACCTCTTCGTCCGTGAAGGCTTCCAGTACGACTACGTGTTCGACTGGACCGTCTACAAGTACCAGAAGAACGCCCAAGCCATCGCCCAGGCTGCCAACCAGGGCCAGGGCGAGGAAGACGACAAGGGCCGCGGACGCCACGTCACCACCACCGCCGCTGCCAACGCGGGCACGGCAGCTGGCACCAAGCGCGGTCCGGTCAACGCGCGCCAGGAGGGCACCGGAATGTGAGTTCGATATATCTGATCCTCGTAAGGGACCCTCTCCTTTGCGTTTGGTGTTGAGAACGCTTAGCGCGGGGGGCGCCAGATCCAGATTTTACTAACCTTCTTCCTTCTTTCAGGCAGCTTCGTTCGGCCAACAAGCGTGGCGGGGACCAGTATGCATCTGGTTACTGATTTGATGCGGCTTTCGATTCGTCATCTCAACTCTTGCGTGACCGCTTCTTCTGACGCGGCTCCGCACACACAACGAATGGGAAATGCGGCATTGCCGTCCTGGCAACATTTTGGACGGCGTCGCTCCTTGATCAGTTCATGGGATCCATTCGTCAGACACCTCGTACGGACCTAGGAAGACATTCCACTGTCTTGCGTTTCTCATGGCCATGCGTCTCTGACGACTATCTCACATCTCTGGAAGCTCGACCCACACGGTATCTCCATTTGGCATCACAGTTCGGCTTGTAAACACATCTCAACTCCTCCCGGATTACAGCCAACCGATTATCTTGGTCGTCTTGCACAGCTAGTGTTACTGGCCAGCTCTCCAGCTGATGACTGATCTTTGTTTGACTTTACGGCTTTCACCTCGCATTAATTATCCCCTGCCCCCTCGTCCTTCCATGTGGTTCTTAGTACTTTCCTTGAGTTTCCCCCCTTCGGATATGTCTGCCAGCTTGTGGGGAGGTAAAGCTTAACAAGGGGTCGATTTCAATTTGTATCTGGTGAAGAGTGTATGTGATTGAAGCTTGGCTGGTAGACTCGAAGGGTTGCAATGGGGCTGGTGGCTAGTAGTCCGCGTGATTGACGGATCTCCATTAAGGAGGCTGCTTCCAGGGATGAGAAAGGAACATCTAGCTCGCCACGACCATTGCGCTTGGAGATGGGGAAAGGGGACGTGTGGTGCGAGTGATGGTGCTTTTAGTTTTGTTTGCTTTGGAATTACATGCTTTTCTCGCACCGCTGATTGAATATCCTGAGTGATGCCCGTGACTGGTATACTGCTTGTAACTTGGCTTGCTTAATAGGCCAGTAAAGGACTACGGGTAGAGACTCAAGCTAGACTTCGAGCTCTAACGAGAATATGATGCAGCTTACTTCTTTCATATTCAGTGAATGAACGGATATGTGATTATTGTCTTTTCAAGTAATGCACGTTTTGCGAAATGTGGCTTCAGAGAGTGACTTTGACTGCTTTACGTAGTGTACGCGTGCGTGTCATGCGGCCAGTACGATGTACCATCTTGGATATTGTATGGCGCCTCCCTGAAAAAGAACAAGCAATCAGGCCACTTCCGCACTTGAGTCCGTCAAGGCTTATGTGCTGTGCGTACGATGTTGTGGATGTAGTAGCCCGTGATGACGTGCCTCGTAACCCTGCCGAGGTAAAACGCGACATCGTTCTTCACAGTACTGTCAGCAACCCATGCATAGGTACGCGACTAAAACACCTCGCTGCATCATCTCTCATCACGCAAGCAGCATCAAAGCATAACATCTCATTACTGTGTTCTTTAGATCGCGTTTATATGGTCTGACTCGTCAATATACAACACGAGACTTCGTTCTGTCGCCCGAACCGAGGCCTGTCGCGTCTTGCGGGGAAAGCTTACTATTCATCTTCCACTTAGTACACTCCGTCTCGAAAGTCTGAAGTTTCCACACCCATCTCACCGTCCACCTACCTAAAACAGAGTGGTGATAGGAGAATCTTCGCGACATTGTAATCGGATATCTGCTCTACCGCCTCAAAGAACAGCGCGAAAGAGCCAGGAAATTAAACATCATGACTTCTTCATCGGATTACTCGGATATCAAGTTCGAGATCAAGGGCAAGATCGGTATCATCAAGGTAACACTCAAAGACTCCATCATCAATCCGCGTGGCACACTCCCGAATCCCTCCAGACGATCTTATCCGATCCACCCATACGCAAACATCACAGTATGCGTCCGCTAACACATCCTTCAGTTCAACCGGCCCAAGGCACTCAACTCTTTTGGCGGAAACCTCATTCCCGACATCATCGCCGGATTACGCGTTCTCAATGAGCACCCCGACACCATCTTCACCGTGCTCACAGGCGAGGGACGCTTCTTTTCTGCCGGCGCGGATGTCAAGGGAATCGCTGGAGGAGGCAGCGAATCTTTCAAGAACGATGCCGAGAAGAAGCTGAGTTACATGTCAAGGTTCAGCTATGGTATGTCCGACTCTTGATCTTGCTTATGCCGCCACTTTATTTTCATGTCGAAATGTGATGGCACCTCTGAATTATAGTACTGACTCTGACATGGGCACAGCAACGGAGCTTCTACGTTCGATGATCGAGTAAGTCTACATACACCCATGTATTCCCACACAGCAACACTAACATCCCACAGCCACCGCAAAGTCCTCATTCTTGCCCTCAACGGCCCCGCCGTCGGCGGCGGCGCAGCCTGGTTCCCCGGCATCGCCGACATTGTCCTCGCCTCCTCAACCGCGTGGCTCCAATGCCCCTTCTCCGCCCTCGGTCTCGTCCCCGAAAACGGGTCCGCCCTCTCCTTCGCGCAATCCATCGGCATCCACCGCGCAAACGACTTCCTCATGTTTGGCCGCAAGCTCTCCGCGCAAGAGCTGCTCGATGCCGGCCTGTACAATTACGTGTGGGATGCTACTGGTGATGAGTTTCATGGCAAGGTTGAGGCGTTCTTGGAGGAACAGCTCAAAGTGAATGATGGCAAGAGCATGATTGAGATGAAGAGGTTGCAGAATGCGCCGATTAGGGATGCGAGGTTGGTGGCCGTGGTTAATGCTGTGGATGCGTTGGCGGAGCGGTTTGTTGAGGGGGCGCCCATGGAGAGGTTTGAGATTAAGAGGAGGGAGATGGAGGAGAAGAGTAAGGCGAGGTCGAAGATTTGATTGGAAGGTTTAGATGGGAACATGTATGCAAGCTTCGAATTCTAAGTATAGGAATTGTGCAAGGCCTGTGTGCCCTCAACGCACCAAGCAGATATCTCAAACCACTGGACATACATCCTCGATCAAGGTCCCCATACCCACACCCTCAGCCCAACCCCTCAACCCACCCATCCACCTAAGCATACTCCACCGTATTCCTCAGCGTCCCAATCTCCGGACTAAGCGTAACCTCGACCACATCCCCCGGCTTCAAAAACTGCGGCTCCTTCATCGCATACCCGACGCCCGCACACGTGCCCGTCATGAAAACCGTGCCCTTCTTCAGCGTAGTCCCCTGACTACAATAACTCACCAACGTCGGAATCTTGAAGCACAAATCATCGATCCCAGAACTCTGTCTCAGATCCCCGTTGACCACCGTCTTGAGATGCAATTTCGACGGATCAGGAATCACGCGTGTGGAGACGAGTTGCGGGCCTAGAGGCGCGTATGTGTCGAAGCCTTTGGAGAAGTTCCATTGGGGGACTGTGCCGGCGAGGAGGGGGTCGCGTTGGAGTTTTCGCGAGGACACGTCGTTGCCGGAGGTGTAGCCGCCGATGTAGTTGAAGGCGTCGGCTTCGGAGACGTTTTTGGCGTCTTGCGAGATTATGAAGCAGAGTTCGCCTTCGTAGTCGGCTTGGTTGTCTTGGGCCAGTTTGGGGATGACGATGGGCGCGTTGTGGTCGTTTAGGCAGGTGTTGGCTTTGATGAAGGTTGAGGGGTATGGGGGGAGGGTGCGGCCGCCTTCTTGGACTGGACGTGGGGAGGTCAATGGTTTGAGAAGAGGGTATGGGGTGTGTGAGAGATACTTACTGTGTTTGATGAAGTTTAGACCTATGCACCGGATGATGGGTACTTCGTCTGTCGTCACGGGACCGAGGAGCTTCTTGACGGTGACTTCCTCATCGGTAACCGTGGTGGCGGGGTCGAAGATGTCATCGTTCTTGACATCGATTACCTTGGCCTTTAGTCCCGTCTCTTCTGTTGTCGTACCGACATCGAATTCTGGCGAGGGGAGGATTGGTTGACCCCGCAGCTCACGTCCATCTGTGGCGATGAAGCGGATAAGTCTGTCCCAGTTTGGTGCCATTGTTTGCAGTAGATATGAGTTGATGATGGAGATTTTTACTCTTGCTACAAGCAGTGTTCTATGTATTTGAAGGGCTAGGATCTGAGTCTATGGTGGATATATGTTCAACCGGGCCTGCCTGGCGCGATGCCGGAAAGATCCATGGATGTGGGGAGGTTCGGAAATGTCGAGCGGGATGCTAGTGCGGGGCATTCTTTGCGTGAACTTTGATCAGGAACGCGCGGATTAGGTCTTTTCGGGGCTTGTTATGAGACCGTAGTAGATAATGGATTTCCAGTAGTCTCCACGGGCTTCACTAAGTTTGAGAGTAGATATTCGTGGTATACAAGCAAATGGTGACACGGAACAACTCTTTAACGGGTTCGTGATGCACTTACAAGACTAGGACAACCACTCCCATACAGTCATAATCTTTAAAAGGCATTGCTGCTTAGATGAGGGGAATTAAATATATTGTACAGCTACTAGCCCTCAAAGACGCCATGTTGAAGATCAACACCAAAGTCCTTTGCCATGACGCGCATGTGCGCTTCGATATCATCCTCCATACCTCCGCCCACACCGACCAATTGCTTGAGCTTACTCCAGAGGAACACCGCATCGCTAAGTGTAAGCACGAACCGGAAGCGCAGATGCTGAATCCAGTTCTTCCATCTCTGGCTCACACTCAGATCTTTAGATTCAATCAAAGCCCTACTAGCCCATAGTCCAGTGATCTTGATGCGGTTTACAGGTGAACCGAGGAATTGGTTGTTACCTTGTACGATGCGTAGGTTACGGCCAATGAAGAGGAGTTCACGGGGAAACTTTGCGTCGTCGCCGAGAATGAGCTTAATGGCGTCGCGGCCTTTGGCTTGCATTTCAAAGGCTCGCTCCGCTTGGTCTTTTCCTTTCATTTCAGATTTGAGGACACCTGCTACACTCTTGTCGCCACCTTCGTACGGACGCATGAGCGTTGCTGATGCGAAGATGTCGGCGTGCTTTACGCCCCAGCTGGTGACGATCTCCTCGATCTTGGCGTTGTCAAAAGCGAGAAGCGACTTCCAGAATTCCGCGTATTGAAGACGGAACTTGGGATCCATGCGGATATACAGGCCGTGGTCGATGAGGACGACTTCTGGCTGTCCACTGGGCAGGCGGCGGACGAAGATGTTGCCTGGATGGGGGTCGCAATGTACCGCACCCCAGAGGAACATTTGTGCTGAGAAGAGATCGACAATAGTGTTCATGGTGGTCTTCAGGGAGACGCCGAGGCCGCCTTTCTCGTCGTTTCCTCTCCATGAACTACGGTCCGGCTTGAAGAACTCGTGTTGTGTGGCATCCTCCGGCGCATGTGTATCGATCTTAGCGTCTCGGGGGATTGGTGGTAGCTGGTTACCACCTGCACCGGGGCTGCCTCTGCGCCATCCACCCTTCCAGCTGTTTGTGATGCCCTCCTTGTCCCATAACCGTACACCTTCGATCCATTCCGCAGTCATGACACGCTTGCTTGAGAGCTCGCGGTACACTGCAGGTATGTAAACCCGACCGTTGAGTCGCGGTTCTCCGGCCACCAGCCCCTTCATCTCTACCGCGTTGTCTGCCTCGTTCTCGAAATCCGTTTCCAGCATTAGGCGCTCTGAGATGTATGGAACCAGGGTGTAAACAGGGATGCCGAACCACCAGGTATACACTTTGGAAACGACCTTAAATGCCCAAAGATCCCATCCCACCTGCTGGGCAATCTCTCTCTTCTGAATCTTGATGGCGACCTCCCTTCCATCTGCCAGTCTTGCCCAGTGCACTTGCGCAACACTCGCACTAGCCCTTGCAGTCTTCTCCATTATACCCCGACCGTCCTGTCCTTCCCGTGTGAAGCTGACACCGAAGACGTCCTCGACGCTTTTGCCAAAGTCCTCTCGTATGACTTGCTCGACTTCCCACCATTCGTTCTGCGGCGCGTCGTCGAACATTTGCTGGAACATCTTCTGGAATTGTGGTGGCAATATCGCGCTCTGCATAGCAATCGCCTGTCCAATCTTCAAATATAGTCCGCCATTGTACCGCAGCAGGTCGAATATCCTTTGTGCATTCCGCGCATGCAATTCCTCAATGCTGTTCGCAAGCGGAGGATGCGCACGGAAGTTGATCTTGTAGTCTATGCCTATCAAGAGACCGGTCTTGAATGTGCGCAAACTGCGTGTGATGGACGAAGCGTAAAATTGCCGGTCAGCTAGCCACCCAGCACCGAGCAGAGCAGAGATGACAGCAAGGCGGCGCACCCATTTCCGGCGGGTAAACGGAGGCTTGACTTTACGTTGTCGTGGTTTCGGTAGGTCTGCGGGGTTCGGAGGGCGCAGAGGCTCCCATTGCTGTGTTCGAAGGCGGCGCGCGAGTGGTGCCTGGTAGAGTCGCGTGGGGGAGAAGGTTGACGTCAGCAATCGTGATGTCGCATGTTGCGCAGGTGCTCTTCGAAGAGCAGACAAGCCATGTATCATGGCTGTCGGAAACAGGGTGAAGACAGCACGGGAAATGTGTAGTATGACATGAGGAGCACGTTGTAAGAATGCATTATCTGTCGCGCCTTGTCGGACTTAAAGTCATGACGGCATTTTCAACGCCGCCAATTGCCCGCCTACAACCGTTATTTCGTCCGTGCACCATCTAGAGGTGTCAGCCTCATGCTCCGGTATAACCCGAACTTCTGCTTCTATCGTAGCTCCATCCACTCGTTCTTTGTAATTTTTGAGAGTTTCGCTATCTAGCCAAAACTTTTGACTTTGTGAAGTTGCGCGGGATGGGAAAGGACAGGACGTCGTCTGCGAATATTTGCCTCCCCTTATCCTATCTCAAGATGGTGTACTTCTGCCTCATCTCCCGTCAACAGGAGCCTACCTCGTCCTCGAGCGAGCTATAGAGCGTTCTGATCGGAAGCATGGAGAGGCGATTGCTGTGATTGCGTTGACACCACTTAAGCCCTTGCTAATGCAAGTAGAGCTTTGTCGTGATATCGATATACCATGGAAGGAGTAGAAATGCGAGAGAGCACCTAGATACCCTTCGGAATCACTCATGATTGTTCGTCCTGCGGCACTTGACTCTTCTCCACAGCCTTGAGATCTACGTCCCACCTCTTTGCCAGATCCTCAACTACGCCCATCCACTTCTTCACTACAGGATGCTGGTCCGAGACCTCCCTGAATGTAGGGTCGTCGTCATTTCCTACAACACCCCACTTCCATATGCCCTCTTCATCTACCCATTGGCGGCCTAGCAGCTCCTCGATGGCAAGCTCTTTACGCGCAGAATCGAAGACTTGTGACACTTCCTTGTGGACTTGCTCATCATGACCCCTCCAGGCCGCGACAAAGCCTTGTAGAACTCCTAATATGTAGCCGACGCGTAGGCCTAGGTTGGCACCGAGAGAGTAGCCTTCATCGAATCCTTCTTGCACGTATTGGCCTTTGCTGTTTGCCAGACCCTCTCGGTATGCATCTGTGTCGAGCGCTCGTTGACGCGACGGGAGGTCGGATAGTATTTCGTGAGCGCGTACATGAGGGACGTTCGCTGTGAGGGTGGGTGAAGCGGGCGCCGAACCGTAAATATCGTCGAGTGCATTTTCGTGCGGAGGCGTGGGTGGACCGTGTCCAGCAGCGAGTTGAGTCGGGTCCAAGGTAGGTGACATGTCCTCGAATGCGTTCATGGTGGGCGTATTTCCTCTCCACAAAAGACTGCACCGAACGTGAATCTAGTCATGTTGCGAAAGGTACTTGGTGGGGTGGAGGGTGAGGATCTGGTGGGACTAGCGCTGTCTTCGGCGGACGCGGAGGATTGAGCCTGTTCGAGTGGGAGCACCAGCTTCCTACCTGTATGCACCCTCAGCAATGCTCTCGAGCATAAAATCTGAGTACAGAATGCCCCGCTAGAATCAGTCCGGCAGGAAAGTCGTGGATAACTTCACAAACGCTATCTCCGTCGCCACGGACGAATATTGGGACGCACGGTTAAGCTGGCAGGACTACATTCATCGGCAACAGATACTTTATCAACGACCGCCATCGCGGTTGCTTACACTTTCTAATTAGCATTGCATCTTCCTGAAAAACTCTCTACTTCATTCCAATTCTCGTCATCATGGTTGCTCTTGACATTGTTCGCGCTCACAACGCATCGCTAAAAACCCTACCCCCCAATCTAGTTGCAGTATTCGTTGGAGGCACGAGTGGGATAGGCTTCTTCACTGCTCGCGAATTCGTCCGCACGACCACATCCCCACATGTCTATTTGATCGGCCGCAACGCGACAGAAGCCAGCAAGATTATGGATGAGCTCAACTCGATCAACAGCTCATCCCAGGTTAGCTTCATCCAAAAGGACATCTCGCTCTTGAAGAATGTGGACGAGGCATGTAGTGAGATCAAAAGCAAGGAGGAGCAGGTCAATGTGCTGTTTATGACGTGCGGATACCTCACGATGAAAGGAAGAGACGAGACAGCCGAGGGTCTGGACAGGAAGATGGCTGTGCAATACTACGCACGAATGCGATTCATCTCTCAACTTACACCGCTCCTCAACAAGGCCTCTGAGACTGGCAACCTGTCTCGCGTGGTCGCTGTCCTGGACCCGCAGGCTGGCTTGAGACTCGGAGGTCTTGACTATTCCGACCTCTCCCTCAGACATAACTTCAGTCTCAAGAACGTCCTGCTCCATGCAAGCTCTATGACGTCTCTCTCCATGGCTCACTTGGCAAATCAGAATCCAAAGACAGCATACATCCACGAATACCCATCTGGCGTCGAGACAGGCGTAACGCGCGAACTCTTCGGTCGCTTCAACGACACTGTCATGTCTACGCTGGGTGGACTATTTCGACGCTTTCTCTTCGTTCCACAAGTGGAAAGCGGCGAAAGACATTTGTTCGCTGCCACGGCGCCGCGATACGCCCCCAAAGCGGATAGCGCCAAGACAGACGTTATTGGAAGTGATGGTGTGAAAGGCAGTGGAAGCTATCTGCTGAATTGGAACGGGGACATCCTGGCAGATACCAAGAAAGCGCAGAAGCTGAGGGAGGAGGGCGGGCTGGACAAGGTCTGGGGGCATACACAAGAGGTTATGGGCAAGATCGAGGAGAGTGGAAGGTTTTGACTTGAGCGGCAATCTGTTATTAGAGTTTGATCGCTGGGCTTGACGTAGGATGGAGCGGGCCGGGAGAGCAATCCATGGGACCAGGACGACTGAGTCGCGCTACGCGTGTGGGGCATATCGATAGGCGCACGTCTTCAAGGTTGCGTGATGCTGAGGCAATGTTGCTTGACATGCACGAGGCGCAGTCTGTTGGCGTTGGTGAAGTTTCTGCTCTATCTGGAATCAGCCAATATCAGACCTTGTTGTGTTTGTTGGAAAAAGAGAGCGCGATGACGCCAGATGTGGGCGCATATAGGGCGTCTGTCTTTCTGCGACGCGACATCGTGGGTGTCCCCAGGAGGGTTGTGTCGGATCGGAATGGCATTCATGCGCTCCTTGCCTACCAGAAACACCTGGCTTCTGCGCCCTCAGCGCGGCACTGGGCTCTCGAGATGAGCAGGCTAGCGTGAACCCCTATTCATGTGCGTGACGATCACCAGGGCCCGGGTCCCCAGCTGCATGTCGCCGGCGGACGATAACGATTACACAACACTGAGCTATCGCGTGCCGAATAATGACTGGCGCGCGTGCAAATTGGGCGCTGTCGCCCGTGGTTGTCTGGTTAGGCCAGCTGTTTCGCATTGATCTTTCGGGCGTGCCACCCCCGTCGGCGTCACCATCGTCGTTTCCCGCTGTGCATCCAACCTCGAGAAGCCGCGGCCAATGGCAGGCGCCGTCCAGCCTTCTCCTTCCCGAGACGCGTCACGCCGTGTTGACGTTGGTGTAGTGGTTGTGGCGGCCTGTTCCCCATTCGCACTCCAGGGCTATTTGCATGCTCTCGTCCTCCTAAACTGCACTCTGTCGCAACGTTGCTACGGCGCATTCCTTTTTGTGCAGAATCCGGGGGTGCCATTGCGCGTATCGTTCCTGCAGTAGTGCCTCGGGCCTTAAGGTTAGTCAGAGGCTCTAACCAGACCCTGGGCCCCCGACCCGCACGCGCCATTTGGATGCGCGTTTGACCAAGTGCTGACCTTGGGATACAGCCGGCTGCTCCTCCTCCAATTTCACTTGCCCTCGCACTAGGACGCCAGACGCTTCCGAATTGCTGTGCCGTGCGCAGGACAGCCCAGCCCAGCAAGACCCAGCAGGACTGCTTACCCACTACGCTGCAGTCCTCGATTGCTAAGATTACACGCGCGCGAAGTGTGAGCCACTGATATTAAGAGCCCTCTGCTGCCCACCATGGCTACCACCATCGACGACCGGTCCCCTAATCCACCTAATACCAATACCTCGGCCTACAAAGACGGCTCACCTGACCCCTCTGTCCGCCCTTCTGCAGCCCAGTCCCAGTCCCAGTCTTCCGCCGACCAAACAGGACCGCGCCGTTCCAGCTTCAACTTCTTGCGCCGAACCAGCGGAAAAAGCTCCTCTGAAATCCGCGGCAGCAGCACCAATCGAAGCGTCTCCGGCGGCAAGATGAGCAGGAAGCAAAAGGCCCTCGCCCAGGAGGAGGCTCTCCGCAGGCAGCGCGAAGCTACCATGCTGCCTAAGCAGCCGCCGCGCCTGCCTTCCCACTCGGCCCTTCCCCAGCTCGCGACGTTCGGAGGTGAGGACACGCGCCCAGACTCCATTGCCATTGTCTCCAACAAGGCCGGCACCTACAACCCCACTGCCCACAACTTCAGCCGCCCCTCGACCGACACCTACAGGATGGCTCCCGCTCAACCCAGCCCCGCTGTGGCGCCGCCCGTGCCAGGCTCCTCGCCTTCGACCTACATGGATTACGATCCCTACCCGAGGACCGAGAGCATGACCAACCGCGGTCGCTACAGCTACGCCAGCAGCCAGATCAGCACCGTCAACAGCCCCCGTCGTGTGCGAAGGAGGAAGGACCCCACGCCTTTCAAGTATGTTTTGTCACACACCTGTAGACACCGAGCTGACCGTTACCTAGCATCCTTGTCATTGGCACCAAGGGCTGCGGCAAGTCTTCTTTCATCGAGTTTCTCCGCACTGCGCTCGCGCTCCCGGCTCGAAAGCGCCCAAACACTCCCTCGCCGCCTGCTACCGCCGTAGGTGGTGGAGACTCGCCGTTCACTTCCGAATTCCTCGAGACCGAAGTTGATGGCGAGAGAGTCGGCGTCACGCTCTGGGACTCTGAGGGCCTTGAGAAGAACATTGTCGATTTCCAGCTGCCCATCATCACCTCGTTCCTCGAGTCCAAGTTCGAAGACACTTTCAGCGAGGAGCAGAAGGTCGTACGCGCGCCAGGTGTCAAGGACACACACATCCACTGCGTCTTCCTCGTTCTGGATCCGATTCGCCTCGACCAGAACATAGCCGAGGCTCGCAAGAAGTCTAATATTGTCAATGCTGGCAGCGCCATCTTCGGTGGTCTAGACGATCGTCTCGATCTCAACATACTTCGCGAGCTGCAAACCAGGACCACCGTCATTCCAGTCATCAGCAAAGCAGACACAATCACCGGCGCGCACATGCGCTATCTGAAGAAGACTGTCTGGGATACCATCAAGCGCGCAAAGTTGGACCCCTTGGAGGCTTTGAACCTGGACCTTGGCGACGATGACGAAGACCCCGACCGACTTGATGAGCGCGACGAGGATGAATACGAGCAGTCGTCTGAGGGCGAAGGCAAATCAGAAGTTCTGAACAAGATCCTCGAGCGATCTTCTTCCGAAGCTGCGCGCTCCATGGCTTCCTCCAGCTCTTCGACCAGGTCGCACTCCCCTCCCACGTCGCCCCCAAGCGCCAGGAAAGGCCACAGCCGTAAGCCGTCCGCCATGTCCGCCTCGATCCACAGCGAGAGTGCCGAGACTCCGTTCCTGCCTCTCAGCATCATCTCGCCAGATCCTTACGACCCCGAGGTTGTTGGTCGCAGATTCCCATGGGGCTTTGCCGATCCTTACAACCCAGAGCACTGTGACTTTGTCAAACTCAGGGAGAGCGTTTTCAGTGATTGGCGCTCTGAGCTACGCGAGGCTTCCCGTGAGCAATGGTACGAGGGCTGGAGAACCACTCGACTGGAAAAGGGCAGGCGACGGGTCGTTACAGCGGATGGACCCGCCTCCAGGCAGCTCTCTGTTCCTGCGACCAATGGACGGGCAGCCAGCGCTGGCAGCCGCGAGTATCGCCCGTATCGCCCTAGCAACGATTTCTAGATATCTCGACCCTCAGACCCCAGGCATCTTGCCATACCCGCGGCATCATCGAGTTGGATCCACGACAAGCAACATCGCTGCACAACGCGATCATTCAATCTCTACCCCACGAAGCATCTTCTGAACCTTCGTCATCCATCACAACTCACACCGTACATGTTCACACTTGGAGGTCTCATACACCTTTTCCTATATCAGTCTGCATCTGGAAGCTTGTGTTTTCATCTGATTTTAAAATTGCGCATACCCTTTTTCTTATTGTTTAGTATATTCTAGATTCATGCCGTTCCGACAAAGTTCATTCCGTTTCACAAAGGATACGGGTGGTCGATACGTTATTCACGCTGAGCGTAGCCTTTGATAGTATTTGGAGCAATGCGGGAACAGCTTCAACGTGTATTTAGCAAGCGATCGAGGGATCGGTGGAGGGATTGTAGCATGCTGATCGTACGTTTTCGGGAAGCAGTAAAAAAATTGTATTTTATGAATCATTCGGGGCTCTTGCTTGCTGACTGTGACCATGCAAGCTAGTGTTGCTCAACCAATACTCTCGAGAAACAAGACTGCTGGGAGAGAGAAAAATGGCTAGGATCAAGGTAGAACAGTATAATAAGTGCGAAGCCTTGGACCAGTCGGTAATGTTCGTTGTGTGTTATCCCGAGATACCAGTTGGCGGGCCGGACTCGTTGTCTCATTGACCAATCGCCATCTCGTACCTCGCATCGTGCATGTCTTGCGCGCAGCGACCATCGTTCGGCTCTCAACGTTCGCCATTAACGACGAGACCTTCTGCATCTGCAATGGCTCCCGGTATCGCGCCTTGAGCGATTTATAAATACAAGGCATGCACCATGCTGTCTTTTCTGCTCTGGCAGCATTCGTTCTCGTCTTTACCGCGTTCACGCTCTTCTTTCGGCTACCTCAGGATACCGATATGACTTACTCACGCAGCTATGCATCGCTACTCTTTGCTTCCATAGCTACTACAGCGGTAGCTCAGAATGTAACAAAGGTAGATTTGGGCTGGTACGCCCCTAAGAAGAGCTGGGTCAATGATCTTGATCAAGTTTTAAACGGGACGGGCACCAATGGGTTCGTGTTCAACAGCTCGCAGCTGCCTGTCGGTGTGAAGTATGGGACGTACAACTGGTGCAATATGCCTCATGTCAGGACGAATGAGTATGTCAAGGTAGATGACGATTTTGAGCTGGCGTACGTGGAGGTGTAAGTTGTCCTACAGTCCCAGTCAATCGAGAGCGTCAACTCACATTCTGCATAGTATTCATCGCCATCACAAGCGCACACCATATGCCTCGAATACCTTCCCCAAAGAGTCATATCCCTGGGATTGCTCTGACCAAGGTCTCTTCTACTACGGCGAGCCTCTCAATCCTGCTGGTAACACATCGGCGTCAACATACTGGAGCGTCTACACCAATCCCATCAACCCCTTCGCCGCGAGTGGTTTCAACGGGTCGTGCCAATTCCCTCAAATCACACGTGAAGGGCTCGATGATTCTCTGCAGCATGGCAAAGACCTCTTCGGCGTATACCACGACCTGCTCGGTTTCCTCCCCGACAACATCAACGAAAAGACAACCTGGCGCGTCTCCAACAACGTCATCACCAGCCAAGTCGCCGGCATGCTAATCGAAGGCATGTACAGCCCCAAGGAAAACGTCCCCCTACACGTCCAACCCTCCACCATCGACTCGCTAGCCCCATCCTACTCCTGCCCAGCCGCGTCCGCCCTCTACAGTTCCTACGGCGTCGGCAGCACAGCCGCAAACTGGACGCGACATCTCGCCGCTACAGCACCTCTCTTCGCCTCTCTCGATGCTATAAGCGGTGTGTCCACTGATTCATCAGAATGGCACACCTGGTTCGACCACTACTACGACAATCTCTCCGCCCGCCAATGCCACGCCAAAGCCCTACCTTGTAACATCACCAACCCCGCTCTTTGCGTCTCCCAAAACCAGGCCGATACCGTGTATCGCCTGGGACAATACGAGTACTCATTTATTTACCGCGACTCCCCGCTTTCCTTACAAGCAGCTGCTGCTTCCTACGGCGTCTACATGGCAGAGTTAGTGGAGAACATGCGCTCCGCACTAGCGGGTCAGAGTCCAGTTCTGTACAGACACAACGTTGCGCACGATGGGTCGTTGGCCCGGCTACTCAGTTTCCTGCAGATTGAGCAGATGGTCTGGGTGGGCATGGGTTCGGAAGTCGTGTTTGAGGTTTATCGGAGGAAAGGGTATGAGACTACCACCGGTGGTACTAGTGAGCGTGAGAAGGCGTATCTACGTATTCTCTGGGGTGGACAGGTGATGAGGAGCTCGAATCCTAGTCTGGGTAATAAGGATGGCGAGGTTGATATGATTGATCTGGAAGTGTTTTTGGGGTATGTGGATGGTTTGGTGGGGAGGCGGGCGAGTATGGTTGTTGGGAACTGTGCGGCGGAGTAGGATTGATGGATTATTTACTGCATGTATACGAGATTACTTGGGTCTTGTATAAAAAAGGGAGTAGTCATAGCTGGGTTTGTTGTTGAGTCTTTCATTGATACGGGTTAGGCCTCATGTTCGCACGTCTAGTAACTCCAATCAAAGAACTGGACGTGACGAGTGTTCTTCTCAAGGCTAAGCTAGGCTTACTAAACGTGAAGGAAGCCGTGTAGGAGTCGTAAGCGAAGGATGTGTTAAGATGCAACATGCATGTAAGCATGCTGTCAGCTCGAAACCCGCCAATAGAACGTGAGGTATTTGTCTAGCGAACGGGGGCAAGGATCTCGCTACTTCTCGAACTTCTGATAAGGTACTTGGTTTGTTGAATGCAGCAATTTGGAATATACGCACTAGTGGTGACTCTGTTTATTCAGCAAAGCAGCATGTTGGGCTTCTGCGTGATGTATATATTGGGTCGACAGTTCGGTTTGGAGCAAATATCCGTACGCATTTGCTTCAAACGAACAAGACTGTAGCTGTCTAGACAAGAAGCACGATACAAAGATTAAGGATCTGTAGATTCGTTCATCATGCCACCTTCGACAAACCCGGAGGTGCTGGAGACGAGCAATGGTCTTGTGAGCACTCTTCGCGGTATGGCCGGTGGCGCGCCGCACAGCTTTAGACCAGGTATGCAATTCTTCCTTATTCTTTACCTTCTCCTTGCTTAACCCTTTCCGAGTCATCGTTCCAAACGCAACCTCTAGCTGACACATACAACCAGCCCACGCAAAAGGACATCTCCTTACCGGAACGTTTACTCCCAGTGCCACGGTATCGGACCTCACTACAGCCCCGCACTTCAACACGCCCTCCACACCAATAACCGTGCGCTTCTCTTCCTCCACCGGTTTCCCCAAGATCGCAGACACGGACCCCAATGCCAATCCCCGCGGCATTGCCATTCGTTTTCACCTACCGCCCAAGGAAGACGGGCGAAGGCAACACACAGATATCGTTGCGCACTCGACGCCATACTTCCCCACACGTACCGGCGCCGAGTTTCTAGAGTTCCTCAAAGCGGCAACGGGGCAGAATGCGGGAGAAGCAGTGCCTGAGTTCCTTGACCGCCATCCTGAGACCGCGAGGTTTTTACAGGCTGCGAAGCCTAGTCCAGAGAGCTTTGCGACGGAGAAGTTCTTCGGTGTGAATGCGTTTAAGCTTGTCAAAGAGGACAAGGTTACTGTGGTGAGGTACAGGATTGTGCCTATCGCCGGAGAAAAACATCTCGACTCCGAGGCACTAAAGGAAAAGTCTGAATTCTACCTGTTCGACGAGTTGAAGCCGCGTTTGCAGTCTGGACCGATTGGATTCAAGCTGTTGGCTCAAGTCGCCGAGGAAGGGGATGTAACGGATAACGCGACGGAAATATGGCCTGAGGCGAGGAGTATTGTAGAGCTAGGCGAGATCCAGATTGAGAAGACGATGGACGACGCGGAGAGCGCGAAGCAGCAGAAGAGCATCATCTTCGATCCTATTCCGCGGATTGATGGGTTACAGCCGAGTGACGATCCGTTGTTGGAGGTGCGCGCTAGTATTTATCTCATTTCGGGAAAGCAAAGGAGATCTGCGGAGGAGCCGGCTAAGGCGGAGGCTGCGGTTGCTACTGATGCTGCGGTGGCTGCTACGTGAGAAGTCGTTCGGGCGCTGGATAGGCGGAAGGTATGAAGGTATGCGCGAAATAGAGTAACTGGAATGCAGTCCTTCTTGCGCATAAATTTGATAGTTTTTGTGGCTGAACGAATGCTGGTTGGATCACTGTAACTGAAGACTTCGATTGCTGACGTTTACTTCGGCGACCTGAGTCCATTTGGTCATGTGGAAGCGTCCAATGGAGGTTGAAATGGAGTCCTGTTCCAGTAGGAGTAGTAGTGCCTTGCTGTTCTTGGACCCTTCGATCTGGCGCAGGGCTGATGTGTAAGGGTGCAGCCATAGCCGCAGCAACAACGGCGAAGTCGTGCATCTGTTTTTGTGCCGAAGGTTAAGCTAGAATTGAGCGAGTGCCGTGCACAGACTCATAGCCATACACCCGGGACCCTCTAAGAGGGCTATCCTTCCAGCTGGTACTGGGATGGCAGTGTTTGTTGGGAACTTGGTCGAATCCGGCGACACTCAGGGTAACCCTAGCAATACTACTGCCATTTTGAGCAACATCGCAAATCTATTTGCCATTCAGGACCTTCGCCGCACGACCTTTCGCTGTCAATTTGGGCGAGTCGGGAATACACCGGTTGACTCGGAATAGTCAGCGCCCTTCGTCGTTGAGTATCGGGATGATCCGTCTCACCGGCAGGGTCGCGGTGGCCGAATAGTATCTCCTTTGCTGATGATGCGATGATCTAAGACCGTTCTTTGTTCTCTTATCTTTCGAAAAAGAGGCTTGACTACTTTGCTGCATAATTGCAGTCAGCTTCGAGGGTGAAATGCTATTCGCCGGGTAATGGTTAGTGGTGGGTGAAGGAGTTTTGTGATAGGACATCGTAGGCGAGAATGACCTTCCATCATCAGAGGAATGACCACCGCTCTTAGCCTAGTAGAAGATGCTATGTGACCAGACGACTACGTGAGAGGTTGGTGGTGTGTGATGGGTTCCCTAATTAATGTGCTCAGTAAGCACTCTTTGCGTGTTACAGTAGAGCTTAGCTGTTCTTAAGACTTAACTAAGCTATCTCTAAAAAAAGTAAGTATAATATAAGCTATCTTTTACTTAATTTATACTAGTAGCGCTAGTCTATTACTTCTATATTTAGCTTATAACTATTATTTCTACTTTACTATACTACTACTACTATACTTATATAGTAAATATTAGTAGTAAGAACTTATAAAGTCTATACTAGTTAAGACTTAGTACTATCTATTACTAATATAAGTACTAGTAGTAGTAATAGTAATAGTAATAATATTAAAATTAACTTTAAGTATAGTAAGTATATAGCTATTTTAAAGAAGTAAGTAACTTTAAATAAATTTTAGATAAGTTTATACTTATAGTAATATAGTACTACTACTTAATTTATATAGTAAGTAAAATCTACTTTATTAGCTTTTTTTATATCTTTTTTATAAGTTATCTTCTAAGAATACTAAATAAGTCTAAGTTAATACTATATAAAATAAAAAGTTATATACTTATATAATTATTAAGAGTACTTTTTACTATTTTACTAATCTTAATATTAGTACTAGAAACTTAAAAAGAAGATATTATAAAAAAGTAAAGCTACTAAAGTAAACTTAGTCTAATTATAACTAATACTTATATAAGTTTATTTTTATTACTCTAGAAGTAGTTATATTATATATTAAGAAGATTTATAGAGCTACTATAAGTTAGTTTAAACTTAGTATAGTTTATCTATACTAAGTAGTACTAGTATAAAGCTACTAGCTATAAGCACTTTAACTAGGTTATTAGCTAGATTAGAGAACTTTAGCTTTAATATATAAAGAGTAAGTATAATATAAATATATCTTAGATAAAACTAGTCTAATAGAGATAAAATTTTATAAGACTATAAATAAGTATACTAATATTATAATAGAGCGCTAAGCTATAAAAAATATATTATAAGCTTAGAATAAATAGTAGAATACTTCTAAGCTTTAATTTACTAAGTACTACTATTTTATAATACTAGAGTTTAACTAAGATTTACTACTACTTTTCTTTAATAATAATTTCTAAAATAAGTATTTTAGAGAATAAGAGGTATATATAAAATAACTCTTAGTTTTAACTTAGCTAAATCTCTATATAAACTATTTATTTAAAAGAAATAGTAGCTTATATTTCTAATAATACTCTAAATCTACTTATATTTTATAATAGCGTAAGTGTATATTAGATAAATTTTAGTTATATCTCTTACTAATAATAATTAGAAAGTTATTTATCTCTAAGCCTAGAAAGACGCTAGTTTACTTAAGTTATATTACTAGTATTCTATTTATACTAATATTAAAGACTATAGTAAGTTAAGATTACTCTTAGTTTATACTTATCTAACTACTATAAAATACTCTAATATTAAAATAGCTAATAACTTAGCGTGTATTATTCTACTAAAATATACTATAGTATTAGTTACTATCTACTATAAAAAGACTACTATACTATAAGTATAAATAGAAAGTAAACTAAGATATATCTTAACTAATAAATTTATAGCGCTATAAAGGCCTAAGCTAAGTATAATTATAAGACTTAAGCTTATAAATTATAGATAGAAAATAATAATACTTAGTAAGTCTAGACTAAGTAGTATCTACTAGCACTAAAGATAATAGTTATAGTAGTAGTATATTAAGTAGTAAGTAATAACTAAGTTATATTCTATAGTATAACTAGTATATAAACCTATAGCTACTAGTAAAGAAAGTATATATAGTAGAGTATATAAGTCTATATAAGTTATATCTAAGTTTATTTTATAGTCTAATATAAATATTAGATAACACTAGTAGTCTATATAAAATTACTAGTATTAGCCTAGTTTTTAGATTATAATATAGTTTTATAAACTTTTACTTCTTCTTTTATAACTACTTATACCTCTAATAGTTATAGGCTACTATCTAATAGTAGTAACTAAGTATTAACTATTATAGTATTATTTTTCTCTTTATTCTTTATATTTAATAAGCTAGTGTATACTAATCTAAAGTCTATATAACTTACGTTATACGCAAATAGTATAAAAGAAGTAAATACTACTTAGTTAAATCTTAGTTTAAGTGCTAAGAATAATATTATAGCTATATCTCTAGTTACTAAAGAAGTAGCACTAATTATATTATCTCTAGCTATACTAACTAGTAATTTATCTAAGATTATATCTACTATAGTATATAGCTTTATAACTTTATTCTAAGTTACTATAAAAGTAGAACTAAATATATTATCTCTAGTTATACTAGTTTAAGATTTATCTTAAACTACACTAGCTATAGTATAAACT